TGTATTATTATTGTACTATATTTTATTAAATTATAATTTCATTTATATTATTCTGTATTTCTTTAGATGGTTATATAACAATAAAAAAGCAAGATATAATTCCATTGTATGATCCACCATGTCTTATTAAAGGCATACGCAATAATTTATTAAATAATGATCTTGAGTTTGACGTTGAAGAAGGAGAAGAAGGAAAATTTGCATCATGGGAAATTATCGAACAAGCACATCATATGGACTTGACTCATAGCATGTATCGATTAATGCCGAAAATTACAGCAGAGCATGTAATAAGAAGTAAAATAAAGAAAAAAAAAGTTAAAAACGCTGCTCAGGTTTTGAGTATGACGATGGGCGGATTCATACATCACCATACCAAACTGGAAGGTATATATTTATGCAGATTTAATAAAGCTAGAATCTCGTGTATAATTACTACATATTTATAATATTGCTGATTGCAGGGTTTAGATCGATACGAGATCGATTAACCCGGAAGTGCCATGAACTTGTCAAATTAAGAACCAAAGAGCACGTGATGTCATTAATCAATCTCGAATCGATTCAAATCCAGTCGAAAACACTATTAATAAGACTTAATTATGTGATTATATATTAAGTTTATTTTTCATGTGTATGTGCTTTTTTTTAGGGCACGTGAATACAGTCTATGGACCATTAAAAATGCCAGAAAAGAAAGGACGGGATACAGCAGAGATAATACTTTTCTTTGACCGATTGTTTGATTCTGTTAACGGACATACGTTAAAGCCGGAGAAACCGTTAAGAGTTGCCATTTCGCATAACAGTCCACATTTTCCATTTTGGGAGAGGGCAGTAAAGAGACTACAAAGAATGCGGTTTGTCGATCGGAAGGATAAGAATCAAATAAGAGATTCAAATATTCTAAAAAATTGGATTTCTACTATAGGGGGATTACGCAAATTGTGGATTATTTTGGAAGCATATGAATTCAAATGCTTGAAGCCTCGAATTTTAAATTTGGATTCCCTTCAACATTTCTTCGGGCAGATTAGATCCTTCGGCATAAGGAATACCAATCCCACGTGTGCGGAATTCGAGAGTTCTTTTAAAACGTTGCTAATCAACAATTTAACGTCACCTCGTACCGTGGAAAATAACAGTGAGAATAAAATAGACGGATCGTTGTTGTTTACGTTAAAAGAGTTTCTTAGTGAGATAGAAAGTAGATACAATGACAACTTGATGTTAGATTTGGAGAGGCCTTTAGATGCAACACATGATTATCTTAACATTTGCAACTCTATTGTGGCAAAAATCCTAAATAATTCACAAATCAAAGGATGCAACATATGTAAAAATCTCCTGACAGATGTTACAAAATCTGAATTAGTTAGTAGTAACGATTTGATAGAAACATTTAAGAGTGCTGAAGATCTATTAACGTCAAAAATGAGTGGCGTCTGCTATGTGCATCATGCGGCGTTAATGTTGGAAACCGAGTTATATATACAAATGGATTTACGTTGGTTAAATTGTCCGCAGCATGACGTTCAGCTCAAAAAGTTCTTAGTATCATATGTAGTTGCATTTTATATTTGCAAGTGGTGTAATAGTATAAACGATATACTAACAGAGAAAGAACATGACGATGTGAAATAGATAACAAAACGTGCCTATATTATACGTAAAGTCAAAGTTGTAAATTTTAATAAAATATATAATTTATATATCGTTCCACGTTTTTAATTATATTGTTATAATTCGCAGTGCGGAACACGAAAAGCGTGAGTTATTGTTTAATTGTATTTTTCTGTAAGAAGAAAGTATAATCGGAGGAAATAAATGGAAAGGAAGCAACATTCTCGATGTGACAAAAATAAATTTATGTTTATATAAATTTATATAATGGGACAAAAATATAGATTCTCGTCGATGAGCTAACTAACACTCGAACGAAAGGAATTTGTGATACATCCTAATCCAGTCTACAGTAAAAAATAAAACAAAAGTGCTGTACAACATCGAGATTGATCGTGAGCTCGGTTTCATTGTCTGCAGATCCGTTCATAATTCTTACATCATGGCTTCTATGATATAAGAGTACATATATTCTCACATCATTATTCTTAATTATCATTAATCATCTTAGACTCGATTCCATCAATGTAAGAATAATTTTAATCTCGGTTGAATTTAGTTTCTTTTTCTAAGAATTAGAAGAAGATAAACAGTAAGCTGAATCGAGATTAAAGTTAATATTACATTGATAGAACATTGATTATCTTAATTAATCATCTTAATCGTCATTATTCTTATATCATTATTTTTAAATACATGTATTCTTATATTATAGATTCATTGTTTTAAAACTACTATGACAAATCGAGATTTGCAATGTCGCACTTTCGAGAATTCTAATATCGAAAACATCGAAATATCGTAATTTCGAGAATCGTAGCGATCGACGAACAGCGATGAGTTGGAGGAGGGGGGGGAATATCTTCAAGATAATAACAATAACCTGTGTAGCAAGTAACAGCAAGTTTTGGTCCGAAATTTTTAATACGAGTGTCATAACGAACGTCGAAGTCGCAATTCGAAATAACTATGTTTGTAGGCCAATTAACTTTATCGATTTCACGATCAATTAGAAGTAACCTAACGAATGTACGAAAAATGAGTGCTGCAATTAATACCGACTGTGTAAAGTCTCTACTATACAAAGAATACGGCGATCCCGTTAAAGTTCTCCAAGTAACAACGCAAACAATAGAACAGCCACTAGGCGAACAAGTAATTATTATTGCAATTAAAAAGTTTATATTTTTTTATCCATGAAATTTTAATCATAAAATTTAATCTAATTTTTGTGGATGTATAGGTATCTGTGAAATGGTTACTATCCCCAGTAAATCCAGCCGATATAAATACGATACAAGGAAAATATCCTAGCAGGCCTCCTCTACCAGCAGTAGCAGGAAATGAGGGGGTTGGAGAAATAGTAGCGATTGGATCTGATGTTCAAGGTTTGCGTATCGGAGACAGAGTGGTACCGAACGGTCCTAATTTTGGAATCTGGAGAACACAAGCTAATTATAATTCTAAGGATGTTATGAAGGTGTATATATCATTTTGTAAAGCTCGATGCACAATTGAAAGACGTAGGCGATGGAAACAAGAAATAACAGATTTCAATCTATCAGAAATTAAGTATTTTGATATATCTATATGATTTCTGATAGATTGAAATCTATTATTCCTTCTTCCTATTGTCTGTATTTTTTGATTGTGTCTCAGGTTTTACAATAAGTTTGTTGCATGTGTTATTTCTTAGTCTGGTTTTATAGATACCAAATGATGTTGATCTAGTTGTAGCCAGTATGATGAACGTGAATCCATGTACAGCGTATAGAATGCTGAAAGATTTTGTTCCATTAAAGCCTGGAGATACTGTGATACAAAACGGTGGCAATTCTGCAGTTGGTCAACTGATCATTCAATTATGTAAAATATGGAATTATAAGTCTGTCAGTGTTGTTAGAGATAGACCAAACATACAAGAATTAAAGGTATAATGTTAACAGTTTTCTTAAAAATTTACTGCATGATACGTACAATATTATGAATTATGTATAATATGTATGATATTATGTCTCTGGCAATGTGGGACTTTGAAGATACAGTCAACTTTTTTTATTATGAATCCTGATAGAGGAGAGTACAGCTTTTTACGATCATTCGGAGATCGTTTTATTTCTACATTTTCTTATGTATTTTTCTTCATGGAAGTTAAAAATTATCATATCATAATAACGACGCTACTTAAGGAAAAATTGGTACATTATGTGTATATATGTGTGTGAAAAATCAAGTTAATAGAATTCTTCACATAATTATGAAATTTCTGTCAAATATTTATGTTTTAATCACTTAAAAACTAATTCAGAGAGTTGTTGATCCAACTCTGAACTTGGTTTTTAAATGATAAGCATAACTACAGCGATTTCGTGAATTATTATGATAATTTTTGGTTTCCATGAAGAAAAATAAATACAGAGATAATAAAAATTCGTTAAAGCTTTCACAAGAGAGTATGTAAGAATTTTTTTTAGATTTTTATACAGTCCAGAACAATGTAAAAAATCTGTACTGAAGTTCAAAGTTCCAGGCTGCTGATGGAAGATGCAAAATTACATATTGTCAACAAAGAATCAAGAATACACATAATATTATGAATTATTTAGAATCAATTAACGAGTTTAGGAGCAGATGAAGTGCTAACCGAGGAGGAAGTCCGAAATACACAATTGTTTAAAAATAAAAAGTTACCTGTACCGAAATTAGCTCTTAATTGTATCGGTGGACAGAACGCAACTGAAATAGTGAGACATCTTGCCTATGGTGGTATTATGGTGACTTACGGCGGCATGTCTAGAGAACCATTAACTGTACCAATATCCGCACTTATATTTAAGGTAATTCAACACTCCATTTGTAATTAAAAATTGTAAAAAAATATTTGTTAAGTCTAATTAATGCAATTTATATTATTTCAGGACATATCATTCAAAGGATTTTGGATGACAACCTGGACAAAAACAAATATGGATTCTCAGGAGAGATTGGATATGTTTAAGAATTTAGCAGGTTTCTTTAGGGATAAGAAATTGCAACCGCCACCATATAAACTGGTGCCTTTCCGCGAATATCAAGAAGCTATTGCTAAAGCGCTCAGTTTTGATGGTCGAACGGGCGTAAAGTATATTTTAGATTTAACAGAATCTTAAAATATTTTTATGCATTTGCTACTTTTTTATAATTCCTATCAGTAGATTTGATTTAAAATTACCATCTTAGGATTGTGCAATATGCGCATATTGTTTTCCTTATGCTTCTGATAAGATTGAAGCAAAATACTGTCTTGTAAAAGAGAATAATTTTTCATATGAGAATATATTTATTTCTAGAAATATCAGTGTATAAATATGCTAGAAAATATAGGAAAAATAATTGCAATGCGTTATATGTCTCAGTTAAAATTTTAAATCATTCGATCTCGTCGAGAAGCTCGAGCAAGTTCATACTGCGTTTCAAACCTTCGTGCTCGTCTTCGAAAAAATCCGCATATACAGTATCAAGTTTGGCTTTGTAGTCCTCGTTCAATTTTGGCTTTTCATTTTCCGCGTTATTTCGTTTAGCGTTGTTTCCTTCGATATCAGTTTCCTTATTTGCATTATTTACAGTCTCTTCGTCCACGTTTGACAGTAAATTAAGCGTAAATGGTCTCTCGTAATTAGTTTCCTCAGTTCCCAGCTGAACAGCCAGCATGCCTAATTCTGCTTTTGTGCCGCAGTCTCTTAAGAACTGTTGGCTGTCTCGTACTGCGCTTTCCGTTAGGCCGTATGTTGGCAAGTATCTATATAAAAAAATTAATAATTTTCCATACCATGTGATTGGCACTTGTATTTTTTTTTTATTATATGTTTTCTTACATATTTTTGCCTAATAACGTCTTTCTATCACCAAAGGTATCGAAGGATCCTCCGCAACATGTCTCAGGACTCACATCTTTAATCCTCATGGTGGCTAGAGTGTTTCCGTGCTCTGTGTATTTCTCATCGTATTTTTGAGGTACTACGTTAAAGCTGGCGTCGTCATTTTGTAAACCGCGTCGCAGGAGGATTGAAACTCGCACGTGGTACGGTTCCAATTCTTTCAGGCAACTCTCCCGTGCATTCCAGACTTCTTCAAAAGTCAGACAGCCATAAAACTGCGCTTTGAAAAGTGGACAAAAATTCTCATTGAATTGAATATTGTTAAATTGATTATACTGAGTTATACTCACGCTAACAACCATCTGATGCACCATGCTGACGCACTTTTGTGCATTTACATCGTTGACTAAGTCGCGTATCGCGTCTATGTGATTTAGAATGATGAGAATGACTTCTCTGGGTCCAGTAGCCGCCCTTAATTGATACTTCACCATCATGATCATTAAATCGAATAATTTGTCCATGCTACTCCTGTCTAGTTTCATGATGGATGAAAGAGCGACGCTTTCCAAAGTGGTGCGTAACTGTGATATTCCGATCATTGGCAATTCTTCGAAAATCGGCGATAGTATTTTAGGATTGAGCAAAGCGGCTGTTACGTCATCTAATACTGTAATTAAACTAGTTTTAACATTAACTTAAATATAAAAAAATTAATTTTTTTAGTGCTATATTTTATTTTGACAATATAAAATAATTTTCATCAATTTTAAAATATCAAAGAATCTTTCCAAAAAATAATATGATGCGTATTTATATCTGTTATAGTATAGTGATTCAGATTGAATGTATGTAATTTTGATGAGATCTTAAAAATTACAAAAGTTTTCTATTTAAAAATTGTCAAAAGATTGTACTACAATTATATAAATCATGTGTATTGCTATAAAAGATTATCAGTGTAATTATAAATTATATCATTTGTACAAAAATATTAACAAATATTTATGGATCATTTTCGAAATATTCGAAAATATACTTTCGAGTGTATCTTCACCTTGTACTGTCTTGTCGACATCGATCTTTTGCGCCTTTAGCCTCTGTCGTAAAACGTACAACATTTCGCCGCCCATATTTAAATACAGGATAGGTGTTGAATGCAAAGACATTTTTGCAGAAGCGATCTTTGTTTGACAATTATTATCAGTGATACATGTATCGAATAAGTACACGTACGCCTTACTAAAGCAAGTAAGTCGATGCGTTGTCTTGACGACGTAAGTGTACATAATACTTCTAACTATTGCGATCGGTACCGAGACTGCGCGAAAAAATTTGCGTGTAGACCCTTCTTAATAGAGACATTAAAAATCTTGTACAGAAACATTTTTATTTTATTAAAAATCTTATAAGATTCGCAAAAAATTTGAGAGACGTATAAGAATTAATATTAGAACCTATTATACAATATAGAATCTTGCAGCAACATTGTTGCAACGGTGTAATGTTGTAATATTGCTGGAATGATCTGTGCTGTATGGAAAGCAAGTTAAAATAAGCGAAAAGTTTCCCCTAGAAAAATTTTCTCAAAATTTTTTCATAAATTGGAACACTTCAGAAATACTGGAAGGAAGTCTACAGCTTTTCTTATAGAATTTTTCTTATATGTGAATTTTGAAATATTTGTGAATTCTAGGATTTCTTATTCTATAATTTCGGACAAAATATCTTGAACTTTTTTAGATTTAATAAGATTTTATCAAAAATTATAAAATGAAAAATCTTAGAAAACTTAGAATTCATCATATATGAAGAATTCTAGAAAAAATGTATGTTTCCCATCATTTCTGAAAAAAATATCCCAATTTATATAAAAAAATTTGAGAAACTTGAGCCTTTTCTTTTAAAAGTTATAAAATTATTTACAAATTTTAAAAAAATCTGAAATTTACATAATTCTAAAATATTACATGAAAAATTCTGAGAAAAGTTTTTACCAGGGATGAAACAGAAAATCGTTTTCTCTGAAAGAAATTTTATCTCGTTATTTTGACAACATATCGTAATTATTTTAATAGTGCAACATATGTTACATTATACCCTGTTTAAATCAAATTTCCCGCGTTGTATATAGATATTTAAGTGTTGCCAAATCATCGCTAGTTACAAAAAAAAAGAATTACTAAATCATTCTTTTGTTACTAAATTGGCGGGCGTCCAAGAATCCATCCTAACTGAATCTACGTGGCAGCATTCTGTAAGATAAAATAGAAAGAAGTGGTTTTCGTATTCTATAATTGTTGGCAATTCAATCGAGTGAGTTTCTTACTATCTGATGAATCAATCGTAAGGATCGTCAATAGAAATGTTGCTTTCGACAGGAATTACATTCAACAAGTTGACTCACCTGTCTAGCTGTTGTATATAGATGATGCTCTTTTTTTAAATACCGGCAAACAATAATAAAATAAAAAGAAGTATTGCAAATTGTTTCGAAATAGTATACATGCAATGTAATAGGCAATATTTAATAGGAAAAATTTAAAGTTAGATGAAAAATTTAACGTCTATTTGGTGCAAATATTGAATTCAGTATCAAGTTTAATCCATAAGTACTTGTGTTGGAGTCGTTGGGGTTAAACTGATTCAGACGCATGAACGAACAAAAATATTGAAGAAATATTAGAAATACTAAAGAAATATTCTAATTGTATGTATTTCTTTTAATTTCTAATGCTCGAAAATTAATATTTTATTAAAGCATGTTTAGTTTAAAATTACTTACAAATAAAAATAAATGCCTTTGTTTACACATGAAATATAAATAAAATGTGGGTTAAATTAAGCCTCACTTACGGATTAATCTGAAATTTTAAAACAATTTAATGCATGATCATAGTGTCATTTTACATAGTGCTGATTATTTAAAAAATTGAATGTCTTTTTCTAGATTTTGCCCTACACAAAAGTATTACAGTAATATAATATTAAAGCATTCTTAAAAAAACAAAATGGATAAAATACAAATTATATTAAATGCCAGATTGATTGCAGCAGGCAAGCATATGGAACTGTCAAATGAATTTAAGAAACTAAAGACTGATCAGGAACGTATAGTATTTACTCTGAATCTAATGCAACAATATGATATAGTTCCTAGTGCAACTGGTATGCCAAAAAATACCAAAGAATCTGAGAAATTGCGGGAGAAAGGCAATAAAGTTTTTGTCACAGGCGTATTGAATGATACGACATGTATGGATGCGTTAAAATTATATACAAAGAGTATAGCCTTTGCACCTTATCCATCTGAACAACTTGCTCGTAGTTATGCTAATAGGTCAGCAGTTTTATTTAAATTAGGCTTGTATTCGGAATGCATTCAGGATATTGACAGAGCACTAGCCCTAAATTATCCTGATAATCTAAGAGTAAAGCTTTATTTGCGTAAAACAGAATGCTTAATGATTATGGGAAATCATTCTGTAGATGACACACTTAAGGAGGCACAGTACTGGCTGGACAAGATGTCTATACATGATACAAGTCGAGAAAGATTAACAGCAAAACTTGATGTTTTACACAATAAGACTACGCAGACAAAAGTAAATACGAATACAAAAGCAAAAACAGAGGAAACTCCTGATCTTCCTATTATTAAATCTCATAATAATGAAGTTCCTTGTGCATCAGATGCAGTAGCCATAAAATATAATGAGCGTTACGGCAGACACGTTGTTGCTACTCGTAAAATTCACCCAGGGGAGGTAATTGCTGTGGAGAAACCTTATACATTAATATTAGTGCAAGAAAATGTGCAGACACATTGCTCCAATTGTTTGAGGGTATGTTGGGCAAATATACCCTGTAACTATTGCACTTATGCTATGTATTGTTCAGAAGAGTGTAGAAATATTGAATGGGAGAAATGTCATAATATAGAATGTGCCGTCTTTCCTGTTGTCCTCGAATATTCCACCTATAATCTTGATTTATGTAGCATAAGGCTTGCTGTGCTTGCTTTAAGAGAAGCTGGTGGTATTGAGAAATTAAGAACAATGGTAAAAGAAGTTGATGAACATGATGGTATTTATACCTTTTTATATAACATATTTTTTTTCTTAAATAATGGAGTTATTCATAATATGCTATTATTTTTCAGATCCACGAACGAAAGGTTTTTCTCGAGATGGAAAATTATATAGCGATAAATACACTAGCGTGTATAGTCTTGTGACGAATACCGAGAAAAGATCCGTCTCTGATCTCTTCAAGAGATCTTTTGATACTTCTTTTTTTGTATACTTTTTAGCGACGCGTACTGTGATATTTGGTGCTAAATTACCAGAGGATTTAAGCGGATTGGCGAAAAACAACGATGTTACATTCATTGGTGGTCTTATTTTAAAACATCAACAAATAATCCCAAGCAATATGCACAGTGTATGATATCAGCTATGTATTCTAATACACCATATCGATATTATGTGTCATATTTATTGTTTTTTACATCGTTCTCCGATGTGTCAATAATTTTTCAACATTCGCTTCTTTTACAATTTCATTTGATTAATTTAAATCTGATATTTACAGTTTGGTGAAACGCAAGGTTTAGAATATCTAGAACGCGGTATAGCCGCTATGCCATTTTTTAGCTTAATTAATCATAGCTGCGATCCAAATATATTAAGGCACTCGAGACCTGAGCATATAGTGATATATGCCATGTATCCCATTGAAAAGGGCCAGCAGGTATTAAGTTATTTATATTGTATAAATTGTTGAGTTATTGCAGTATATGTTATCTCGTTACAGTTATTAGACAATTACGGCAAACACTATGCCGTCATGTCAAAAGCACAGAGGCAACAGAAACTACTCGAACAGTATTATTTTATCTGTGATTGCATACCTTGCCAGGAAGATTGGCCCTTATATGTTCAATTACAGTCATACCAAGTATAATAAATAATAACTTTAATTAATAACAACACATGTCTGCAAACTTTGAATTTTTTTGTGCTATTTGGAAAAGAGAAAAGTTGTTTCCTATAGTTTTTGATGCGCTGAATCCGAATCCATAAGTGAAACTGTTCTATCACGTTAGGCTTTTGAGAAAAATGAGGTCGAAAATATTTTTATTTTAAAGTAAATATTATAATAAAGTATCACTTTTTATCGATATTTTTATATTGAAGCATAATATTCAAGCATTAATTTGTGCTCTTTTCAAAATATCTCACACATTGAGTTCATCGATCAGTTACGAATTTTATAAATAATAAACGCGTTTTTCAAGCGTTTTAACTTTATTTTTCTCAAAACCTAATATGGTAGAATATTTCCTCTCTTGTGGATTCGGATTCAGCACATCAAAAATTATGGAAAACTGCTATTCTTTTTCCAAGTAGCAAAAATGCAGACCTGTGCAATTTGTGCATTTTAATTGTGTATTTTAATGATAATATGTTTGTTTTGGATATAGACTTTAGTGAAGAAACCAGAGGATAAGGCTAAGATAAGAAAGGCGTTAAAGAAATTTAATATGTATGTTGATTTAGCGACAATAGGCAACATGCCGAACAGATCTTATATCATTAAAGACTTGCTGAAAATGGTACAAGTATTGTACGATTGTGCGCCGATGCCTTGCGAGGAGATGAGTAACGTCATTGAAACATTAAAACGGGTATATGATTTCAACGGGAATTTATGTGAGATACCACAAATACAAAAGTAAACGCGTTATATTTTTCGATTAATAAAACAACATTGTTATTGTTACCATTTTTATTCGTGCATGATTAATAGCGTCAAGGAAAATATTTTAAACCCATTGAGAGAGAAAAATTAATATTTTTTATGATATATATATAAAAGAGAGAGAGATATATATATAAGAATTTATTTGGTGATAAAATAATTTTTAAAGAGATATATTTAAAAAATATTTTAAAAAGTTTATACAGAAACAATGTTATACTCATTAAATGTAATTTTTTGACATATGTGTTATATTTTTAAAAGATTAAAATTACGACAGACAGTACTGTGCGTTTATATTCTCCTTTTCTTGTTGTCCTATGTGTGTTATTTCCTCATGTATCTTTTCACTTGCTTTGTTACACGCGCGATTGAAGAAAGATATAAAAACGATATAAATTGCAAATAATATTGAGGTAGTATAAAATTGTAACATATGATACACAACATTAAATTAAAGAATATGTCCGCCTATTTATAGTTATTTAAGTTGAGATAGTGTTGTTATGTCAACAACAACAACCAAGTGGTTATTAAAAGAATCGTCAATCCAACTGATCGATGCGTTGTTCCAAGATTATTACTTAAATTTTCAAAATTCTCG